TTTTCTTATTCTTTTATCTTATATTTTTTTCATTAAAATTTTATAACTCTATTTATCCATTTCTTTTAAATCGAACTCATTAAATTTTGCATTCCTCTCCTGCCAGATAGGGGCTAAGTGTGTAAGTAGTAGGAGGAGCTGCAGATTGAGCATATAGAAAAGACATATACATACAAGCACAAATATACATACATACTATGTATTTCTTCTAGTCCCTATTATATAGTACCATAATAAGTGCTTTTTTGTTCTTAATATAAGGCATACTATGGGATTAATTACGTTATTTCAATATTATCTTAATTTAAACTAATCAACTATGAGAGAGAATATAATGCAAATTTAAAATTTTTTCATTTAAATAGAGGTAAAATTAAAAGTTTATTATATTTTTAAATAAAATTAATAACTAACTACTTGATCCCATTTATTCTAATAAAGTAATTAGAGATGTCTTATAATAAAAACTTAAAAAAAAAGTACGTACATATGTATATAATAAAATTGTGTTTTAAAATTTTAAATTAAGCTATAATGTTATGTCGATTTAACTCCAACAATGGTATTAGAGCACAACAACCTTCTAAAGGTTGATTAGGAATATGTTTGAAGATGGTCAACTTAAACTTAATTTGATTCAACTATATAATTCCATATAAAGTCTAGTAGATCTTTCTAGTGTTTAATGTTGCCTGGATTCCAACAACTTAGTTATACATTTCCCACTATCCGGTCAAATCCATGGCCATACCAAATAGTCATCTGTTACACACAATTTGCCTTACTCTGACTTGTGTAACCCCCTCAAAAAGACAAACCGATTTTTCGTAAATTATTAAAACCATTATCATGGTAGAAAATTTTCTTAACACCCTCAAAAATACAAACCGATTTTTCACAAATTATTAAAACCATTATCATGGTAGAAAATTTTCTTACCATGATACATCCAAGACAATATACCACAAGTCTTAAAATATCTCAAAAAAGCAATTAGAACCATGAGGGACAGTCAGGATCCTCATGGCATGATATTTAAATTAGGTCATGAATCAAGAGAGACAAACATAATCCTCTTGGTCAAATAAATACTTTTAATAAAAAGGATTAGAGTTTACATGCTTCACAAAGAAGATATGTCCTAAGTTGGCACAAGATACATTGTATAATCCAAAATAAGAGGCAACGTAAAAGATGGTGTTTCATACACCATAGTTACACCTCTGGTGCTTTCTCGGCCGGACTCGCTCCTGTAAAAATATTAACCACGGGGAATGAGACTTAAAAGTCCCAGTAACCAAAAATTAATATGTAATGATGCATGCAGATGTAACTAATCATGCGATTGCTAAGTGGCACACAAAACATTTAACCGAACAATATTTTCAAACAAACCGAACAAGTATTTAATTGCATGACTACACCTTATATCCTCCTTCGCCATGCTCGGACGCCAAATCACCCGGCCAAAGGTGAGTTGGACCAAGCGACACGCCACTCATTGGGTCCAATGAGGGCTTACCACGTGGTAATAATTAACCGAACAGAAATTCCCATTAACACCATACATTAAAATACCCTGACAAGTCATGCATCATTCAAATATCCAAACAGAATATATCCGAACAATAATATCTCATCATGATAAACAAAAATAAATTTTTAACCCACTTGGCAATGATTTCACAGAAGTATATAACAGTATTTATTTTCAATAATTCATAATTTTTCTAAACAATAAAACAACACATAACCATTCACAAACACACCAATCACAACACATTAATAATGGTTACCTTGTGTCTTGAATAACAAGTTCCCCTTCACAACTCCTCTTTCACCACTATCTTTGTCAATATAATCTACATAATTATTTCACAATACTATATATTAATTTTACATTAAAATAAATAACTCTAATTTAAATAGTTAGAAAGTCTTAGATCTATAATCCATATTAACACTAATTTAAGATTTATGCCTTATTTAACTTCCCAATTTTTTTTTAAAATTCTCGTACCCTAATAAACTATTTTTTTTTATCCTCAAATCACTTCTAGTATCACAATTTCATCCTTCTATATTCTAAAAATTCATCCAAAAATAAATTAAATTTTAAAATTATCCTGAAGCCTCAAATCACCTTTCTATAACCTCAAAAATACCTATTCATACTTAAATAAATATTTAATAATCATAGGTTTATCCCTACATCTCAGATTCCACATAAATTCAACCATATAGTTCTAGATTTTAACTCAAACATTCTTAAACATGAGTTTCAACCTCAAGAAAATATTCTATAATATTTATTATATCCCTAAGAGTTTTAACCTATATTTTTAATCCATAATATCATCAGATTAACTATCCTATAGAAAAATCCTAATCAAAATATTTACTCTATCCTACAAAATAATCATATCACTAGAAAGCTAATATTATTTAGAAAATAACTATAAAATTAATTTTGTAATTAAATAAATTTTTAAATGCTAATCTAAACAGGAAAGTTAGAACATACCTGAAGAAAAGAAAATAATCCCCCCTTGCGAGAAAACGCCGAGCAACGTGAGAGGAAGAGAGAAAAATAATATAAAAATGGGATTGTGAGTCCCAAAATTATATTAAAAAAACTATAGGTTTGAATTTAATTATTCAAACCTTTGAGCCAAAAGTTGTAATTTCCTCTAAATTGCATCTTAGCCTCTCATGCTTCCTAATGCACACACCCCCTCCTTTTTATACATGAAGGCACCTCTTCTCTTCCCTCATCTAACCAATGTGGGACTTAGGAACAACAACCTTCTACCCCCCCTTTTTTTTTGTTCCTTCTACCTTCTCTTTTTTTTTAACACACACATAAAAAAATTATTTATGTATTATATCTTAACTAAATATTGCTTATGTGGTTTTAAATTTAAATTTTTAAATTCATAATTAAATACCTAATAATAATATTATTTCTAAATAACCTCAAATAATATAAATTCCTATTATTATTATTTTTTTTCTCAAAACCTAAATTTCACAATTTTTTTATTATATAAAAATCAGGATGTTACAACTTGTCCATTTAAGGATTGGATCGCTCATCCACCACTTTATCCACATAGCTCCCTTTAATGTTCACTGCATGAACGAAGATAAGAAGACAAATTGGTGGAGAAAGTGAAGAGAGGCTAAAGAAGATTGCTTGGCCTTGATAGATGTGTCATTTCAATTAGAGAGGTCCCACTATATTGTACTCTTCTTTCTTCTTGTTTTTGCTACCTAACATAGTCTCCTTAGTAAAGGCAAGTCAATCACACAACATTCTGTTATGTAACATGTTTTCCACTAATAGCATGTTTGGCATTGTAACCAATAGTTAAAACTTAAAACCACCAACATAGTACACCAAACACATGCTAAACAATTTAGCCTCGTTTCATTCTTTTTATTCTATTTTTGATTTAGTAAACTTCCTATTCATTAAGCTTTGAAAGTTGCAAATTTCAATGTGAAATGACATCATTATCCCTAATTGGAGGAAATTAAAAGGCACCCACATGTACAAAATTCAATTTTCTTGTTTAGCAATGAGTCCCTCCAACTTAGTCATAGTTGGCCCACTAACTAGTCAAGACCTTTAGCCATATGAATTAATCATCTATCTTACCCAATTGCCCATACCTACCTCCTTTGTAATATTCTTATTATTGTATGCCAAGCTACCTGTCCCACTTGGCCTAGGCAAGTGAATCACGCAGCATTATTCGGTCACATAACAAGTATTTCACTTACCAGTTTTACTCATCAACTTTAGTCCATTACGTTGTATTACTATCCAGACATATGGCCAAGGGAAAAGGTGAGCTAGAGAAAGTAAACTATACGTTGTCTGAATGGGGAGATCAGAAGGGCAAGAAAGACTATACATGTGTCAAACTTTATTTTGCTTGATTCACTGGGTGAGGCAAGTGAATTGTACACTTTTTAATATTATTTATAAATTACTTTTAATATGTTTTACTAAAATTAAAGAAATTTTAAATTTTATTTACTCTGTCTTAAAATTTAATAAATTTCACCTCTACCCCCTAATAAAAAAATAGTTTTAATAATTTTTCATGATATTTAATGAGGGTAAAATGGTAACGATAAACATATATATATATATATATATAATCAAAATTAATCTTTTCTCTCTTTTTTATAAATAGAATTAGAGGAGTATATGAATAACTTTTTTAAGCATGAAAGTTTAGCTGAGTTGGGTGGTGGGAACTTATTGAAAACAAGACATATTCTTCTAAATTTAAAAAATGCTTACACATATATTTACACATCATCCACTAATAAAACTCTCAAATGAGCATATGGAGATTAAGTTATATGTCAAAACTTTACCAAACTATGGACTAACTTTTATTGGTTAACAACTTGTTCTTGAATAACTTGGCAAACTTCTTAACTAGACCATGAGTCTCATACATGTTTCCATAGAATTTAGGGTAACTGACACTATTTATAATTTATAAATAATATGAATTTTATAAATTTTATATTTTATATTTATATTAATTTGTTGGTGGTGGGATATTGTTATGTTATAAAGGGAATGCTTGAGAAGGACCTGGAAGATGTACAAGAGAAGGGGGGGAGCTTTTACGAAGGAAATAGGAAAATATCATCAAAGGATAATGGGAGGTATTTTACATCAGAAAAAGACCTTAAAATTTTAATTTTTCACTACACTTTTTTTGGTCTTTAGCTAAAAGTAAGTTTTCATGGGAAATGTTTGAATTTTTCCTAAAGTTTAAAATAGCAAACATTCACTCTGCATAAATAATAAGTAATTTGAGTTTTGGCAACAATCAATTCATAATTAATAATAACACATTCATGATTTAACAAGATTGAAAAGCTAATAGCATAAGTTATGGAATGAGTGTTTATCCTATATAAATTAACAACAGGTCATTATAATTTTGACAACAAACAATTCTTGATTAACAACAACATATTCAAAATTTAACAAAATTGAAAAACTGATAGAACATGTTTAACTGTTTAATGGAATAAGTGTTCATCTTGCATAAATAATAAACTATTCAGGTTTTGATAACAGCTAATTTGTGACTAATAACAAAACATTCAAAATTTAATAAAATTGAAAAACTAACAGCATAGGTTTAACATAATAAGTGTTCACCTTACATAAATAAAAAATTATTTGGTTTTAGTAACAATCCATTTGTAATTGATAACGATACATTCAGACTTTAATAATATTGAAAAATTAACAGCATTAGTTTAATGGATCAAGTGTTCACCCTATATAAATAATAAGTGATTTAAGTTTTGGCAACAATCAATTCGTAATTGATAATAATACATTTGTATGCTAACTATAATTTCTATTTAGTTGTTTCTCTTTCATCAATAAGGGAAATTAAATCCTTTCCCATAAAAAAATTATTTTTAGCTAAGGATCAAGGAGGTGCAGTGAAAAATTATAATCTTAAAATCCTTCTTTCATATAAAATACTTCTAGTGATCCTCAATTGATATTTTCCCAAGGAAATATGCCCTTGAGATTATAGTTGCTCTAATTTTAAAAGAATCTTCTCCAAATTATTTCCAATAATTTCAATGGATTCAAGACAGTTATGTAAAAAAAAATGAAAAAAGTTATATCTTTAACTATTTATTACTATTTTTAATCTCTTATTAATTTACAGAGTATTTTGTTATTTTTTATACCATCTATTTATGTATAGCTATAAAACATATTTTTTGTACAAAGCTACTAAGTATTTCACTATATAATAGTAATTCGCATGTTTTAAATTCCATATATAACATTAAAAATAATGCTACTTTTGTTTTTTTTATAAATATTCAAAGCAATTGAAAAATCATCAACAATACCCCTTTTTTACCCATTCAACCAATGCCAAGTAAACATGCACGAACAAAATCACCAAGTAATGTGAATAAAGTCTAAACTACCCAGAACATGTCATTCTTGAATTTTCTACAACATAAAATATAAATACATTAGCAAGACGAGTTCTTTCAAAATGCAACAATGATAAAGATTAAATATCAAGGAAAAAAAAAGACAAAAAATTATTAATAACATAAATGAAAGAAAGAATGAATGGATAGAAATATACTAACATGCACTAGCCTCTTTAGATAAGCAATTGGTTGGCAGCTAGAGTGACATTATTGATGGGCAAATGGAGGATTGGTGGATGTTGACTTTAGGCACAATAGGTTTTGTGCCTAGAAAGAAAATTAAATCCTTTGTTTTGTGCGTGTCTCTAGATGAAAATTAATATATTCTAAGAAGTTATTAAAAATATTAATACATAAAATTTTATTTATTGAGATGGTATAATTTTATTATGTAAAATATTAATGGGTGATATTTCTAATTCATACAAGAATTTCTTTCCATTCTAATATCTTTATATGTTCATTGCTATCCTAAGGTATACATTAGTTTAAATGACATCACATGAAAAAGTACATTGAGTGTTTGGGTGCTTTATAAGCAACTAGAAAATATATTTGAATATTATATTCTTCTCTAATTTTATTTATAAGTTATTTTTAATATATTTTATTAAAATTAAAAAAATTTTTAAAACCTATTAACTATATCTTAAAATTTAATAAGTTTTTAAATTTATTTTTATAAAATATTTATATTTTAATAATATATTTTCTTTCTTTATCTTATAAAAAAATTGTAAGGGATGTGTGTGTGTAGAGAGAGAGAGAGACTGAGGTGTTCTATTTAGCTTGTATGTGAATTAAAGTTAAATATTTTTCAAATTAACTTTTTTTTTTT